TTAATTAATTAGTGTAAAGTAATTGAATTATGGGTTTGTTTATTTTTTATGAAATGTATTTTTTTTCTATTAAAATAAACATAGCTTTACTTACAAAATCACTAGCTAGCCATATTTAAATACAGGGTGTTAATTAAGTAGTATCTGGCCAACTTCAGGAGGTGATTCTTTGAGTGTTTTTAAGTTAAAAAGTTAATTTAAACATGAAAATAGACATTTTTGTATTAATATCTCAAAGATCCGTTTGCCAATTTTATTGAAATTTCGCCGTGTTGTGAACTTTGATAAGTTAGCACTAATTAAATGATAATACTTATTATTAACAACAATATTCAAACGGTAAAAACTTATCAACTTTTCCCAATAAGTATTTGACAACGCCTTGGATTCATTTGTTTTAACGCCTGTTGGCGGTGGAAACCATGCAAGCTTTTTCTTTGTCCTAAATTGATAATTAAAAAAATAATAATCATATAAAAAAATATGGTAATTAGTCTAAATTTATTATTTATGTGATTCTGCTCTTTCTCGTATAATTTGCCCCTTACGGAAATAGTTAGATTAAAATAGCCAAACTGTACCTAACAACCCATGCCTTGACATAATATTTTCTTTTAAAATAATATCGCTATCTTTATCCGCCGGTCCAGATTTGAACGGCCTTGCCCTCTATCGACTTAAGTACGTGTTGACAGGCAGGTTATTGAACACATGTTGCTTCTAGCATGTCGTTTTTTCAAAGATGAGTTCCATATAAACGCGGCCAGAAGTATTTTCAATACTAAAAATGAAAAATACAAAGAGCAACGGGAGCCTAAAGCCTCAATTACAAAGCCTAAAACCAGAGTCGTCCAGGGCCCGAATTCTGTAACTTAGAAAACGCTAAGCGCTTTTAGACGCTCAGCGTATATGGCGTTAATTTTCGCTTAGCGCGCACTTAACTACCGATTTGGGTATTCTCATCTGACGCGCTTAGCGTCTTTACTGATTGCGCTTAGCGATTTGAAAACGGCTACCTTAAAGGATCGTTTTGCTTGTCGAACTGTCAGTAAAAATAGAAAAAAATGTGATTTTGTGCGTTCTCTTGCTCTTTAGTGAAAACTACTTCTTCTTCTATAAATTTCTCAATAAGTAATTGATAATTTACGACTTGGCAGATATAAATATTGTTCAAAACATTGAAAATGCTGATAAGCGCCTCCAAAATTTCCCTCGTATAATAAGAATAATGACATATCCATAGAAAAATAGGTTGACATAACTCAACAGTAGATTACAGTTGAGGGTTGGAACCTTTGGTGTTAAACAGCAAAATAAAAACACTAAATCACCACAATACACCAAAACACTTTTACTTTTACACTGGACGCGCGTTTCGCTAACCATGTTAGCATCATCAGCAGATGATTATAAACTAAAGTACAATCTACAAGTTGAGCGTTTATAGATCGCTTATATATATCAACAGAAGGTTATAAAATTCCCCTAACGTTGGCATTGTTTTATCCACATTTGACTATTAGATATGTAAAATTTGAAAATCAAAGAAAATGTGAGTTCAAAATGACTCCATAAAAACTTTAACATATACATATAATTAGCTATGATAAATAACAGTTTTTCTTTGCAATAAAAAAACACGGCCGGCTGCTGTTACGAAGTGAAATATCTAATTAAATTTAAAGTAAACAGCTAGACTGAAACTCCCTTGTTTCAATTAAAGGAAATCTGAGCAAATATTGTTTCTCGCTTAGTTTAACTTTAATAACAACACAGTTGGCTATTATAAAAACATGTTACGCAAATGGACTTATTAAAAAATATCCATAAAATTATAAAACTGTTATAACGTAATTTTCTTTTGATCACTATCAATTTTTTTTTCTCAAAAAATATGTGAGGAAGCTGTTTTACAATATATTAGGACAAACAGTTCTTTCTTTATTCGCAACCCAGAAGCATGTTGAAAATAAAACAAATGTAAACAAGCGACTTTTCAGCCTGCTCTGATAGATTTTGAAAAAAGAAATTAGTGCCAGTGCCAGCTGCGACCAAAGACAAAACACAAAATCGTTTTAAAAATAGTCCGATATCGAATACACAAAGTCTGCCAACGAGCCCACTGAATTATAGTTCTATAAATTTTAAATAAAAAAACAAATCAACTTTTTACGATGTGGTCCTATGTCACTAGAGATATTCTTAGCATATTGTGTAGTAGACTTTTTTTAATTTTCATTTCTAGACGCTGTGTGCTTTCCTGGTGTATGAAAACTGAAATAGTTGATGATAGTACTGGTGCTAAAACAAATTATATATCGAAAAATTTTAGCTAATTACTTTCTTGGACTTTTTTTAAGCTCTTCAAATTTTACAAGTTTTGACTTTTTGTAGTAAGATTTCTTTACACTCGCTGGGAGTAAAAATTCAAAGTCGTAACACACCAATAACATTTGATTTCAAGCTAAGAAAATCATTAAAATAAACTTGATATTGTAACCACAGATTATACAGATTATAAACTTTGCTTTTTCTTTATTGTTTTTCGTGGTTCCAATTTTCGGAATCGGGCACTAGTTAGGTTACTAGTTTGCGCACATAGCACGCCCATTTATGGCCTCTAAAATCGTGCACTGCGCCTGACCGGCACATTTATTAGAGAGATATCGGAAAACCGAATAGCGTTATACAGTATTTACGCGTACCTACCTTATCATGGTTACGATATGCGCGAGTCAATTTTTAACGCAACACCCGCTAATAACGTTACCGCCTGACGTAATTTGCGGAACAATTACACCAAGCGCTATTTCTAAATAACGTTTAAAAATTGCTTAAATGGGCATGTGCGGGTATTTGACAACTGGGACCGGCCGGCGAGATCTTTTATTTTAGGTTATGTTTGAATTGTTTTGAATTATTACTTTAGTTTTATTAGGTAATTTGATATTTAAGTAGCTGGGATTAGTTTTAATTAAATAAATATGGCCCAAACTATAGATTCCATCTCTTCCAATATTAAAGAACCTATAAAGAGCTTATTTAAAGCACATAACCTAACCTATATTTTAAATACACTTATTTAATAAATTTAAAAAACTTCAGATTAACTCCACTTATTTCTCATCTCGTTTTGATTAAATTTGCATTATTATGGAAACCCAATTTATATATCGTAAAAAATTAATAACGTTATTTAAATTTTTATTTGTTTTAGCGTTAGTAATAACAGCTGAAAAATAATCGGATTTCCTAAATTCATTGCCAATGAAACGCACAAAATCAGAAACAATTTCAATCATTTTTGATCGTTCCTTATACCTACAAAAAAATAAAAAATAGGAATACTTGGCATAAATCCCAAACTTAACCATTCCGCACGAACAATTACAGGAGCTTAAGTCTGGTCCACATTAATCCGATGACCGTTCGACTGAAACAAGTAATTACTAACATCCTAATATTTATTTAAGCACTTAGGAAAGTGCTTGAATGTTTGGTTTACCTTTGGTACAAGCGGAATATTAGATACATCGTGTTCAATTCTGTTTTATGTTGTGTCGCGTGATTTGCTTTTAACGCACAGTTGTGTCTTGTATTAAATTATTTTGTTTATTCTAATATATTTAGTATTTAGTTAGATAGAAATAGCTTAAGATTAATAAATAAAATATACAAAATAAATCAATGATTTCTTTAAAGTATTTTTATTGCCAAAAGGGAGTAAATCATAGATGACTCTTTTAAATAAAAAAAAATGTGTGTGAATAATGTTTGAAAAAGTGCTACATATAATGCTGTTTTAATATAAATATTATTTCTAATTTAATACTAATTCTGAGCTAGATGCTCTCTCTCTCTCTCTCTCTCTCTCTCTCTCTCTCTCTCTCTCTCTCTCTCTCTCTCTCTCTCTCTCGTGCGATCCTTACCACTTTTCGTCTCGCTACCACTTTCTTACCGCTTTTCGTACTCCCAGCGCGCGTAAAGAAGCTAAAAATGTGAAATGTGAACGTGTATTTGGACTAATTTTAATTGTATTTGTCTGATGATGCTCGTATATGAGCAAAACACGTGTTACAATTTAACATTGTATAAACGTTGAGACCGAGACTTTGAGTCTTTTTTCTACTTTTTTAGGTAAAGAGATATTGAAGGGTTGAATCCCCAAGCTTTTAGACCTTTTGAACAGGATAGGACTAGATACTTTCTTTTGGGAAGTTCTCACTAATCTTATGTCAGTGGATTCGACCTCAGAGTGGACAAATTCACTGTATTTTCCGAAGTAATATTTTACTAACAAACTATAAATTATTAAAAATAAAGTAGTTAAATATATAAAACAACAGGAAACAGAAAACTAATAAAACTAAACTCAAAAAGACCTAAAACTCTAAATATAAGATTTAAATCACCAATCAAATCGTGTTTAACCTAGCCAGTGCACTGAGAGCTTTTTGTAATGTAACGATCTCAGTTAAAAGGAAAATAACTTAAGAATATTTTCCAATCAAAATACATAATTACTTCTATGACGAAACCCAATTTGATTAAGGAAATAGAAAACAAAAACTTCATTTTCGAATGTTTTTGCTGATTGTCGTTAACAAACATTTTCTGTTTATCTCGAACTCGTTCAAAGCTCTCGAGAAAAATAATTGAGTTGGTGCAGGGGAAGTATGTCGTTACGTAGTTATAAATTAACAGTCAGGTACTTTGTAAGAGAGCAATCAGTCGGAAATTGTTACACTTTATTCCATTTAGAGGAACAGAGCTGAACTACGTATAATCAAAAAGTTGTTTAATTAAATTTGAGTATCCAGCTAGCGAAACTATAATTATATCTTTCAGTTCAGTTTATTCTAACTGTTTCTTAATTTTTAAATAAGAACAACTATAAAAAAAATTGTAAGCAAGGCAAAAATAACTCTTCAAACCCTACAAACCACTCGAAAACATTAGTAAATAACTCAAAAAAACCCTCATGTTAATACAGGTTAGTTTCAAAAATATCCACCCCACTCTTTTGTAACATCACCTGACGTCTGTCTGTGACCAGTTTCACTAGTCGTCGCCTCGTCTTCGTACTGAGGCTCACGTGAGCTCACCAGCCAGCTCGAACCACCATAATCCTTATTCACGTGCACATTCGGTGTCCTATCGCAACCTAAGTTCTTCGGCGACGGGGTTTTTCTGAAGAACCCCAAAACCGGCGACTTATCCTTCTTCACTGACAACCGATCACTATTTTCACTAGTCACTATCACTTCCGGACGCAGTTCCGACGACTTTTTCTCGCGACTCAAAGCTACGAAGTCAGAAAACGACAGTTTCCTTTCCAAAATCCCTCTGGGCTTAATCACTTTCTTCTCTTTCTTCCTCTCCGGTCTCAGAGGTTGACTAGAAGACACGTCAGGACTTTTACTCCTCCTCAGAGTTATTCTAAACGAACTAGATCTCTTTTTCTCTCTGAATTCTGGGCTTGGTTCTACTAAGTTCTTCTCCCTGCTAGTTGAAAGCGGATAGAACACGTCTGTCGTTAAATTAGTGGGAGTAGAAGTTTTTCTTCCTATATTTTCCTTCCTGGTTTCTCTCTGGATCTGACTCTGACTTCTATTGAACGGTCCTGGATTGCTGTTAAAGTTTACAGGAGATGGAGTCAGTTTTCCTTGTTTCGTTGACTTTGAAGAGGAAGAACTATGCTTACTGGATCTTTTACTGCTTTGGTCTTCTTGAATGGATGGTGGTTTGCTAGTTTTTGATGATGACGAAGATCTTTTACTTGATATCCCTTGGTTTAAACAATTTTCCTTGGTAACTTTTTTGTTTTCAGGGATACTGTTACTGATCTCTGGTTGTGAAATGTTACAGTACTTCCTAAAAGCTTCCGAGGGAGGTGTAACAGCTCGTACTTGCTCGATATGCCCTATTGATCTCCTTACACGAACGTTAGCAGAGCTGGTTTCGTTGGAGTTTTTAGAGCTGTTTCTTTTAAGCAAACTAAAGTTCAATCTCAGCGACCTTTTTTTGGGTTTCGGCGATACCGGCGGTGCTGGCAATGGAGCTTCAGGTGCTGTACTAGTTGAGGGTTGTTCTTCTACCGGGTTATGGTTGAATCTACAGGAAGGGCCAGGTACTACGGGTTGAGGGGTGAAGGTAGACGTGGCGCACGAAGCTCGTTTCTGCTTGTTGGACGCGGCTGCTGATATCAGAGCGTTACAGTAATTGGTGTCCGAAGTAAATGTATCTGGTCTGATGGGAGGTGTGGTTGTTTCGGGGTTGGAATTGGCGGGTACGACAATAAGACGACCATACGACAGATATACTACCTCATCTGCCGGAAATATGACATACATGCTCTGGTTGGATGCCACATCTCGATGTTGGGCCCGACGGTGTCTTCGACATTAATATTTGTATGCGAACGGGAACCAGGAGACACTCGAATATATTTCTTTATTATACAGGGCGCACTTAGAGATTAGGGAATTTAATGATAGCGTAATTTTTAATTAATATTTCACTACACGTTCCGGCGGGATAAATTACCTGAAAATAAAAAGATTAGAATGAATTAAGTAATAGTAATTATTGTTTTATTAGTAGTAAAAACGAAGCTTTTTGTGGCCAGGCTGTACATTTAGCGACATTGCGAGGCACAAAAAGTTCTTTTTACTCCGAATAGAATATGTTTTTTGTTCAAACGGCACTAATATTTTTTTTTATTTTTCAAAATGTTGTAAATAATATAAAAAGACTTAATATAAATTACATTTTTAAATTACATGTTTCCTTGTTTTAATATAATTGGATTTTTTAACTAATTGTACCAATAGGTATGGTAGTAATAGGTATGGTAGGCTATTAGGATCGGCAAAAAAAAGTTTTTTTAATTTCACTCAAAATGAGTTATTTGGGTCATAAACGACCTAAATACAAAATATTTTCATGATGTCTGTCCGTCCGTCTGTCCGTCTGTAACACTATAACTCAAAAACCGCTGAACCGATTTTAAACAAAATTGGCACAAAAATACTGTGGCACCCGAGAATCTGGCCATTAGCTTTTGGTGTGGGTGGAGGGTTGGTAAGGGGGTATGGGAGGGGGTTAAAAATTTTAAAAAATCGTAACTCCAAAATTACAGTAGCTAGCGAAAGGCGGTTTTCAAATTAAGATTAGGAACAATATTTGCAACAAAATTTGTAGTAACATCAAAATCAGTCAAAGTCGCAGTTTTTGAGATATTAACATATTTTAGTATGGGCGGCTATACGTGCTTCCCGGCGCCAATTTTTTTTTTAATTTATTAACGAACCTCAACCCAAGAAAATATGACATTTTTAAAGTTAAGAAATGGTTCAAGAAGTTTATTTATTTACTGTATGAATGCGTTGAGTGTTTATTTTGATAATGTGATTTATAATTTTTTTAGACAATAAAAACTTTTGAAGATGCCCCAAAATTAAGGGTGAAACGTCAAGATGTTTTAAAGAAAACTAAATTTATTTATTTAACGAACTTCAACCTAAGAGAAGATTAATTATTTTTTAATAGCACTCCCGGTATTTTTTTACTTTATTCGATAGAAAATGACACTCTTAATAGAATGATATATCATATGTCAATTTTTGACATCTTTGCTTTAAAAAAAGATTTTAAATTTAAATCTAGAGGTGTCTAGAGTGCCATGGCTATGTTAAAAGCACTAATTTTTAATCAATGAGCTTTGGAAAAATAGATTTGATCGTCTAATGTTTTTCGTGTCTTGTCCTGGTCGGTTAAAAGATGCCCAAATCGAATTTTTAATCATATCTCATTTTTTTTTCAAATGGAACGAGGGTGGCTCATTAGCATATTTGGAAAAGCATTTTTTAAGAATAATTTGATACTACACACTTGATATTTCGAGTCAAATTATCGTTATGAATCGCATGTTACAATTTCAAACAAACCATATTCAGAATATCATTTTCTATCGAATAAAGTAAAAAAAAATACCTCGGGTGTCATTTAAAAATCAAAAGTTGTAGTCATTTCCGGTAAAACAGGAAGTGATTAAAAACAATTGAATACCTCAATCAATCCTAATTTATGTCCATATACTAACATACCAAATCTCGTCCATTTATCAAAAAAAAAAATAAAAAGTTATAGGGGCGAGTAGTGATGTAGGTAGCGAATATTTCCATTCGAATTTTGCAAGAAATTTCAGAAATTTCCGAAATATTCAGTCCCAAAATCGCGAACATTCGCAAAAATCAGAATTTTGCAAGAAATTTCTTTTCAAAATTCAAGACATTGAGCAAAAATTTAACGAAAGTGTATCAAGAAGTATGCCTATTCTTAAATCAGAAGAAAAAGAATGCTTCTCCGCATTACAAAATAGCCTCTTAAACCAATGCATTTTGCCGCGAATCTCTTGGACCCCTCTGTTTCCTGGGAGAGCACCTTAACAATGGAGAACACATAGCCGCTATGGAATTTATCAATAATATCACCAACAAACATCCTCAGTTTGTCAATAATAAAGAAGCCATTTTTACAGATGTAACAAATTATTGCGACAAATCGGGTTTATGGACTCTCGACTACGTTTGGATGTCAGTTATAGTCTGCGAAACGAATAACTTTGAATTTGACAGTTCCAGCGGGCTTTTCTAGTGTTAATTTTATTAGGTTAGCATCTTGCGGCCATGCTGTCGCAATGCCGTCTCTAATAGAACAGCCTCGGAGCGAGATTTATGACGTCACGCTAGCTAGATACTACGGATTAATAAATACGTATTACTTAATAAATATATGTTACTGTAAATGTCCGATGCGGCAAAAAACCTAGAATAAGCGCGCTAAACCTAGGATTTACCAAAAGCATTAACTAATTAGGTTAGCCTGGTTATTTGGAGGGTGTTAATGCATTGGTTAGCCTGGGTATTTGGAGGGTCTTAATGCATTGGTTAGGCCGGTTATTTGGGGGGTGTTAATGCATTGGTTAGGTGGTTATTTGGTGGGGTTGGTTGGTTTTTACTACCACTTGCTTTTGGTATAAATCATTTCGCATTTCGGACATTTACAGTAACATATATATTTAGTATATTTTATATGTAATTTTTTGGATTATATTCGACACTATTTTTTTCATATGACACAACACTGATGAGGGCTATAATGTTAGCCGAAACCAAATGAAAAAAAAAATGAAAAACCAAATAAAAACTTAATCAGCGTTTTTCCCGAACCTAAATCCCAAGAAAATAAAAAATTTTAGAATAATTTTATATATAAAATGACAGCGATCTTTATTTCATAGCCATCGCTGACGTCTTTTTTTCTATGATATTGTATTATTTGCAAATATAATTTTTCGAACATTGATACTTGTAAAATATGCATATAAATTTTGTGAATGTAAATAATAATACATCACTATTAGTAGATATTGAATGTTTTTTGTTAAATTAGATCGATTTTCAAACCCCCAAATTTAAAATATATTTTACATTTTACCCATTATCTTATGTACCTATTCATTATTTGTATATTGTAAAACATTTGCTGCATATGTATGGTTCATAGTTTATTTGCCAAAGTATTTAACGACGCATGGTGTCATTGATGACGTGCAACGAAAGTTGTTTTAGTTCCCTTTATATTGTATTTATTAACTGTATATTATGTATATTTCATGTAAACTATATCGTTTTTAAAATACAAACCAAAAATACGAGAAATAATTGTTTTCCATGTATTCTACAACATATTTATTAATCCGTAGTATCTAAGTAGCGTGACGTCATTAATCTCGCTCGAAGGCTGTTCTATTAGAGACGGCATTGGTCTGATATTTAGAAATGTCAAAAGCTGATACATTTTACTTTTGACAATTATGTCATTTCGTGTTGATTTTTGCAAGAAGAGGAAGAACTGTCACTTGTTTTACTATTTTCCTTTTCTATTTCACGAAAGTAAAAAGAGTTACCTATCTGATTCGTTCAGGCACTCAATTTAAAGAATATCAGTAACTTTTTTGACAGAGGGATTTTATATTTGCCATGTTGGTGAAAAATAACGGTCAAAATTCAAAGTTATTCATTTTATAGACTATAAAAATGTAGACTGTCTAAGTTGGTGGCAAGCAATGTGTAAAAATAACTGTCTAAAAAATACAATGCCTTTACCAACGTCATCTGCAGCCACTGAGAGAAGTTTCAGTATCTACAGTTTATCCATACTAAAAAAAGGAATCGCTTAATTGCACAAAGAGCCGGCAAAATAGTGTTCGTAGCTCATAAGAATAAATTATTACTACAAAAATTGTTTTTTTCCACTTACATGTTGGTATCAAATGTCTATCTAATTTATTCATTTATTGTATCAACAAAAAATATCTGAAAGTTTCGGAAATTTCCTGCAACAATCAAAAGTTTCTGTAATATTCACATCACTAGGGGTGAGCTACTTTTGAGACACACTCGGTATACATAACATTAATCAATCTAACTAATTGCCTTAAATACTTCAATCTTCCTTTAAAGTTTTAATAAACAGATTAGATTTTCCTCAAAGGAAAAGTTTTGCTTACAAAAGAATAACTTTTTAAAAAGCATTTAAACATACAAACTTTTCCGCAAGATATTTTGCTGAAAGTTTAAAATGTATTATTTGTGGATTTTCTATCCAAGGTCAGGCTGAACTTCAAAACAAGTTTCCGAACGAATGTAAATTATGGCCTGCTAATATGCTAATTCTCAGAATAGTTATTGCAGTTTAACATTAATTATACTAATTCCGTCTAAAGTAGTTAACACATAATATATAACAATTTTTTAGACAGTTTAAACTTAAAATGAATGCATATATTATACACTTTAGGAATAACATTAATTTATTACGGATTCATTCATAGATGAATATCAATTTATGTCATTAATTAATAAAAATATATACCGGGTGGTCGTACATCGTGGATGGAGACACACATAAGAAATGCCATGCAAATTTTCAGCTACTGACAAAACATTGTCTCCCCTGTTGGTTTATAGCAAAGTAAATAGATTTTTTTTAATGTCTGCGTATATTAAATACACATAAAAAAACTTGGGCAAGCCCATTTTAATTTTAAGAATGATGAATCTATAGGGTTGTATTGTACAGTATTGTAGCTAAACGATTAGATTTTTACAAATTGTAAGTCTTGGGTTCGTTGAAGGACTATTAGAGCAACAATTTAAAAATAATTTTACAAGATACAGAGTGTCCCAAATAAGTAAAATATATTATAGTTGTATTTTTTAAATAGAACATCCTGTATATTATTCTATTTTTAGATTCTACGATTGAAATAGAGGTAAATTTGATT